GTATAAATATAAGATTTAGGGTAATAAAATAAAAGTGAGATAATTATATGATTGGATAAAAATAATAATAATCAGGTGATAAATGGTAAAAAATAAGAAAGAGAGAATTTCATATAATCAAAGAAAGATTATTGAATTAAAGAAATTTATGTACTACAGTAACACTATGCTTTTCACATGCACGCCAACTGTGACATTAGCAAAAACTTTATCATAGATATTATATTATTAATATTATTGGTTAATAAAGTACATGAGAAAAAAGGTAAATGCTCACGTAATTTATCAATATTGATTAATACTTTATATAAAATACCTATCATGACCTCCTAATACTATTACTATCGCTATATCCTAATCCAAACAAACACATCCTCTAACTTAATACATATATTCACTATTGTATAATGTATTCTAGGAGACAAATCAAGAATTAATATGGTATAATCTGAGTATTCTGTATGGGAAATTATGGTAATTGATTTTTATATAATAACCCATCTAAAATATACAAATATATAAAATAAAAGCTGACAGCAATAGATAATAGTGTCTCAGATAAAACTGTTTTATCTTGCATAACACTATATGTATATGTACAACATGTATATAATCCTAATTGGAACCATTTGGTGAAATACTAATAAATGATCAATTCAGAATGGAGATTTCTGTAACATTAATTGATTGTATTTTATAAATTCGAAGTAAATTCAAATTTTAATCTATGAATATTAATCATATTCATCAATTAGTAATTAGTTCCCTGGTTTTACAGTTTACATGGATTAGGATTTTCTAAACTGGATTACCTGAAATAATACACCCAGATCTGATAAACCAAAATTAATAGTTTAAATATTTTATATATATTTGCTATTAAATTCGCGTTTTGATCTCATCGATATAATTTTACATATTAATTGCAATAGTATTATATCCAGATTTGTGCAATTCAGATAAAATTTTGATCAACTCGATTTCAAAATGACATGGATATTCAGCACATTCAAATTGACTAGGATCACTAAACTAGACTCATGAATTTTATATATAAATCCAATTTAGATCAGCTCCTACACCGAATATCTTCTACATATGGTGCATGCCATCTGAAGTTATCAAATACTTGTATTTTATAAAATGGATAAACTTCTTTACTAAGAAGTAAATACTCTTTTTGAGCATATTTACAGATTAAATTTTGTATTTACTCCTTAGAAAGAAGTTTATCCAATTTATAAAATATAAATATTTAATGACTTTAGATGGCATGCACCATACGTATATGACCAAATATCGATCTGTTTTAGTATTATAATTAATATGATAAATATGTAATCTAGTACATGTACTTGTTTAATGATGCAAAATCATAAGTTTTTAAATTAGGCAAAATTTAAATTATATAAATTATGGTCCAGTCAAAAAGATTTGCACCTCAAAATAAAAATTAATAATTGCTTCTAATAAAAGTCATTCAAAATTTAACTAAACTCTATAATGTTTTTATACTAAGTAAAGAATAATTTATATTATTCTTTTGTTCTTTTATTCAATAATAAATGAAGCAATACTTTTCTAAAAAATAAAATAAAAAATTATTTTTTTAAAAATACATTTAATCATTATTTTAATTAATTTGCAATATTAGAACTTCAAATTATGCAAGCATATTTTAAACTTTATAAAGATTGAATCAGTAGTTATTTCAAATTATGTTTCAAAGTTTAACAATTAAATTATTTATTATATACATTTAATATTAATTTTAATCAAATTTTATATAGTAAAATTTATGAAATAAGAATTCAAAAAAGTTATCACTTGTAAAAATTTTTTTATGAAATATATATAATTAAAATATATCTATTTTATGTCTAATGACTTAATTAAATAAGACATAATTAAAATTTTATTTTAAAAAAATAATTTATTAATAATTATTTGAGTTGTAACTCTTTTTGCACCGGACTATAATAAGTTATAAAAATTTTGAATAAAAATCTCTTCATATTCTCACAAAATAAAATGTATATTACGAATATAAAAAATTAAATTAACAAACAGATCACGCATGGATTAATTTCTGTAGTCTAAAGATATAAAGTAATCAAAATCAATAGGACCAACATCTTCCAGCGTAACAAAAAGGTCTGCCTGCGTTATCACTTCTTTTACCAAATAATCAGATATATACTCGAATGTTTCATCAATGGATTGAATTACAAATTGTTTTCCCGATGGTATTGCTTTATCAATGATACGAAAGTTGTGTTCTCACTAATAGCAATTTTTGTTTGTATAATTTTTATCTTGGACCTTAGTGTCACAGACTTTGAGATTGTTTCTAAATATAGTAAAAAATTTTAAGTCGTTAAATGCACTGTACATTGTCCAAAAATCATGATTTATCTCACCTGATGTCGATTCAAAAGCGTGTATTTGCTGTGGAGAAGATGCGCTAGCTGATGATTCTCTATACAACACCAATTGGATCTGCTTGTCGTATTCGTTAATATTATCACCAAATGCTTTCCAGAAATGTGTGAATGCTAACTCATCAGTTAAACCAAATTGTTGTGAATTACCGATTCGACAATGGAGATGAGAAGTATCAACGGTATCCCATTGAGATGGCAAATTTAGCGATGCAATATTCGTATATAGTTGACGTAAATTCTGTAATGACTCATCAATACATGCGGAATGGGTATGGTGTGCTGATTGTTCTGATTTTTATTCGGTAAAATTAGAAATAGAATCATTATATCATATTTCATAAATTTGACGCAAACGTTTACTTTTGATAGATCTGCAAGACCCCTAGGTTACTTTTTTGATACTTGTCGAAGCGCAGTCACGTTATTTATTTTAATATTGATCTCAATATATAGTATTTTATGCGTACATATACTATCATTTTTTTGTCTTGTACAATAATTATTAGTCTAAATAAAAATGCGTATGAGTTTTCACAATATGTAACTTCTTTGGGCATCGGTACCGTACGTTTTAAGGTAGGACCCATAAAACAAGAGTTCTATTTAAACTGTTTAATGTAAGAAAGAATAGGAAACTATTTTATTTTTATCTCGTAAATACAGCGTCAATTGTGTTTACTACAGTTTGTTTGACAAAAAACAACTTGAGCCGAAAAACTTATCTTTTACTCTTTGATAGCACATTTTGGGTGTTCCCTGGTCGGAGGTCTGGGTCCTGAATATGCGTATATGAAAATGTTTTTAAGCCTTTATTCTGTACAAAAAGGCTGTTCTATACTCTTGAAATTTAAATGATAATACATTTTGAGTGTCCCTGGTCAGAGGTCAGACCCTGAATATGCATATATTATAGTTTATGAAAATGTTTAAGCCTTTATTCTGTACAACAAGACTGTCTTTACTCTTTGAAATTTAAATGACAACGCATTTTGAATGTTGTTCCCTGATCAGAGGTCGGGGTCCTGAATACACGTATATATGAAAAAATTTAGGCTTTTATGTTCAATTATAGATGCAATTTCTAACGACATGAATTCAGCCTGATCTCGCTAAGGAAACATTGTCAGTTTTATATTCCCGGAACTGAAAAAGTAAATAAAGTAACAACTTGTGGCAGTGCTCGACAACTCTATAAAAGTGATATGTTTCTTTTTTGCTGTTCTGAATTAAAAATAAGAAATACATTTTCTATTAGCAATTTTTACTTCACAAATTAACTGTAATGGTTATTTAAAATGTCTGATTCCATTGTTAGCACTAATTATGATTATTTGAATCATAATGATTTGCTAATCTTAAGCAAATGCCCTTACCAATTAACTCTTTCTATTGAAGAATTAACCAAACCATCTGTAAAAACACGTGGCGAATCTGATAAGCCACCACGACCACAAAACAGCTGGATAATTTTTCGAAGAGATTATGAAGCGCATTTACGTTTATGCTATCAACACGTCAAACCACAAGTCAAAGAGACAGCAAAAGAATGCAGTTTAAAGTGGCGAAATCTACCAAGCGAAGTTAAGCATTTCTTCAAAATATTAGAGAAGATAGCTTGTAAGAATCACCAAAACTTATACCTTAATTATAAGTATAAGCCAAAAAACACGAAAGATGCAAACATTAAGAAATGTATTTTTCGCGAACAAAAGAAATATACGTTTGCTTCGTTACCCATATCAAGCTCGCCCACTTTAAGAAATGAAATCGTGAGTGATACAGCATCAACAATTGAATGTAATCATACTTTTATCACTGCTTCAACAACTATTGATGAAACTTAACCTTTATAATCAATGCGAATATTGATGCTACTGCTATTGCTGCTGTCGTTGATGATTATAATACGAATATTTATGAAGCTCCTATCGATGGTCATTTGTTATCAATAATCATAGTAATGTCTCAATTAATAATTCTTCATCGCCAAACCAAACCAATTCATCACTAATTATCCAATAACGTCATCAGTATCTTTATTCTTGTCAGAATCAGAGTCATTCTCACAATCATTTATCAAAGAATATGATTTATTAAATATTTATTTTGAAAATTTGTTATATAATAACTCTTTCTGAATAATTTTTTCCGTTATATGATATAAAAAATCACTTAGACATAGAAATTTGTACTTCACTATATGTTGTATATGCTACCAAGCACAAATAAGTTAAATTAGATAAATTTACTTAGATTTGAACTTCGCTATATGGTGTATATAATACTAAGCACAAATAAGCCAATATAGATTCCTTCGACAATCATTCTTTGCAATTAATACGTATGTTTTATTCTATTATTATTCATATCAATTTTATTTATTAATTTTTGTTGTCTGTTATTTCGTTTATTTTAATAGTTCGTTCTGTTCTTTAGCTAATTATATTTATTTAATACAATTATCAAAACATTACCGAGATTTCTAGCCTAATAATTTGATTTGCAATTTGATTGGTTGATTGATAATCTAATTACGTACATGTACATGTTCTTAACGTTATGCAGATCCATGTGACATGGGTACATGTATATGTACTTTTGTATTAATTTTGTGCGAGACAAATCGAGATTCCAATTTTTCATTACCGTTACCATCCCAAAATTATCATTACTGCATATATCGTCTAAATCTGAAATTCACTTCAAATTTATTTTATCAAAGATTTTAACAATGTAATTAGATGATAATACATGTAATAATGACGATTTGTTATATGAAACCATTTTTTCTTCAAATGCACACCCTCCATAAACGCATATTTATGACTGTTCCGGGGGTGCATTTAGAGATGTTTTCTGTATAAAAAAATAAAATTTCTTTTTAATTTAAAGAAAGAATTGATATATATGAAATAGCAAGTGTATGTCTCACAATATATTATTAATTTTACTATTACAAAATTGCATACTATTCGAAACAAACAAGTATGCAACGAGAGAGGACAATGACTTATTGCCGTTATAAGCATTCTAGAAGATACTTTGTAGAACAATTATATCGATACTAGATACAGGCCTTTTATTTCGTAATTAATAATACATGTTTTTCGGAATTTCTAAAAAAAGAATTCTAGTATAAGAGCTTAGATTATCCCTGATCCGAAACGCGTTTTTGGAAAAAATTAACGCGCCTGATTGAAAATAATTTGTTAATCTGTTTTCATAGCCTAAATATGACAAAGTATATAAATAAGATGGAACAGAACAATATAAGATTTTTATTTTAATGTAAGGAAAATAGGAAACTACAATCTATTTGTATCGTTTCTTTCACAAAAGACAGCACAAATCGTGTTGTTAGACAAAAACAGCTTGAACCAAAAAAATAAACTTAACCTTCTACGATAACATATCGTTGGTGTTCCCTGGTCGGAGGTCGGGGTTTTGAATATGCGTATACAATTATAGTTTATGAGAATGTTTTTAGGCCCTTATACTGTGCAGTATATTCAACCATTCCTATGTATAATTTTTATTAACAATGTCGTGAATTAAATCAATTGTGAGGTCACTAATTATCTTTATTTTCTATATCAACATCGTATAAATAACAAATACAAAAAAAGCAAACAAGAAATAGCTGCAAATTCAGCTTTTTCAATCATGCATCTTTAGTTCATTTATTGCTTTATTACCTGCATTCAATCAGTAATCAATTGATTATTTCGTTTTTAAAGATGGAGCCATTATTATTGTTCTCCCTATATTCCTAAATAAAAATGCAACAAATGATTCACAAATTCTAGGAAAACTTCTGTCATAAAAACATAAATACCCAGCCATATAACATACGCATAAATTATAGCTTAGTAACTTGATTAATAATATAAATATTTCAAATAGTATAATTCTTAGTAATTTATATTCGTTATAATATAAAATCTGAATCGCATTTTAAACGAACTCTTTATATTTATTTGTATATATATCGCTTTCGCCAAAATAATTTAATAGGTTCATGTAAACGCCCAGAATCGGATAACAAGTTTATTTAATAACCCATAGTACAATTCATTCTCGTTGAGTTCAAATCAATCTATAATGATAATAAATCCTCGGACACATTCAGTATAACAAGAGTAACTTAACTTGTATCTGATTTTTAGCACCAATGAAATCAAAGAAAACTTATTCATATTTGTACTTCGTTTACTAATCTTAATACATACTTAAAATCGCGAATATTCCTTGGTTAAAAATTTATATTGTATTAGAATTACTTTAATTAATTGATTCATACGTACTGTATATCGGTGATACTGCATTGCGTTTATGAATGATAATTTATGTACAGTAATTTGCATTTGCTGAGTTATGAACCGAAAATTTGGGAGACATAACCTATAATGATAATTCATTTATGGGATAGTGCTTCTTATCAGTATATCACAATCATCATAATGAATTCATAGTAATGTTGTATAACTAGTTTATATAAATTCATGGGTAGAAATCAGGATATTCGTACCTTCTAAGCGCGGCAGATTCTTACAAAAATCTTTTGTTACACATACCTCTGATATAACGACATCATAGAAAAATAAAAATTTCATATAACAACAGTATAATAGTAACCTACTATAGACAAGCTTTATATAATTATACTTTTTTTTTATATCCAAAGGCATGTGGGCTGAGTGCAATAGAAACGATGTAAATTGTATTAGAATTTATAATATAATTTACACCGTTTCTATCGCACTTAGCCCATGTGTATTTCTATATGTCAGTCCCGGTATGTTGTAAACAATGATTTTTATCTGTATAAATATGTAATCTAACTATTCTTTTTATATGACAATGAAAAGCAAAGAAAGCAAACAATAAAAATTGTGAGACATAAAAAAGAATTTTATAAAAGTATTTATTTATTAAAAATTATTGATAAACAAGGTACACAACTATGAATGATTTATAAATTTTTAAAAATAAAAGCCATGTGAGGTATATTGAAGTAAAGCAGTTAATTATGCAAAAGTGGAAATTCAATAGAGTATTGTTTTTTACCTTGTGATTTGTCATAAAAAACATAAAAAAATCAACATTACTAATCAACATCACAAATATTTTTCTTTTAATTTTGCGCCAAAAATTTTTTTGAGATCGTCATGACGTAATGATATTCAATAACTAGCATTTATGTAGGGGTGGCGTTGTTAATTGTGCATCGTGTAACAATATAAGTAATTGTCTTGTACGTAAACAGGGCTGAATGGAAAATTGTGTTTCATTGAATGAATTCCGTTACGTACCGGTATGCGATTTGTTCATAGTACATGTACATGTACATGTAATGACAATACTGATACATGTACGTACGTAGTCGGCTTAAAAAATGATCATGTGAAAAATTACAAAATAAAATGCCCTCGAGAACATTGTGCATCTTTAAAACTAAGGTAAATTTGTTAAGAGAATTTCAATTTATGTAAATAACCATATGTAAATAACCATTTGCCAATATACATGCATAAAATGCCAGTTAAAAGAGTTAATTAAAGGAATAAACACTTATTACAATGAAAAAATCGGTTCATTGTTGCTTAAGAAGTCTAACAGTAAAACCAGATTCATACTCTTTTCAAATCGAATATTTCTAAAGATATGGGTCTCAAGGATTAAGTGTGTAATGTAGACTTATTTATAATTTACTGGATAACAAAGAAAAAGAATTCTTAATGTTATTTTCTTAGAGGAAATGATCTACCATCGTTTTTGTAGTATAAATCTGAAATTTATATTAAATTAACATTTTCTTTTATAATTTCGTGTGTATGCCGATAATGCATTTAACTATGCAAATCGAAATTTATGCATGATGTTAATATCAAACACCACGTTAAACTCCATAAGTTCTGTGCAAAATTATACATACTGGTACATATGAATCAATTCGAATTTCAAATCAAAAGTAACAAAATCACAATTCGAATTGAAATGTCCGTAATGAGCGCCATCCCGTTTTTTGAAGTTAAAATGATACGCGTGCAAGTCGATATAACAGACTTTCAGAAATTTAAACCTTAATTTTGTTTAGTAAATTCAATTATTTTTTGCAAAATAAATAAATTATGACTCACAATGCAATTTTTGATTACTAAATAGATGGCTTTGAGGTTAAATTAAGGTTTAAATTTTCTAAAGAGAGTCCGTTATATAAACTTGCATGTGTAATTGCTTCTGGACCTTACTATGATCATTTGTTTCTATTGCATCTTAATGTTCAATGAAAATATTTCTTGTAAAAAAAAAAACAGGATTCTTTTTCCAGATCTTTCCAGCATTCAGGAAATCATCTGGAAAAATTAACGTGAGAAAAAACTTAGTAATGATTTTCAACTGACTTTCATCAAGCTTAGATTTGATTAACTATTTTGAAATATTTTCTGGATAATAATATTTAATCCGAAAAAGACCTGAGATAAATCTGATAATAATTTTTAATTGGTTTTTATCAGATTTATTTTCAGGTTAAATATTTCATAATATATTTCAAAATATTTAACCTGATCTAAGTCTAATAAAAGCCAGTAGAAAATCAGTATTAAGATTTTTATCAGGGTGGATATGGAAAATATATAAAACGCTAATAATAAATTTATTTCTGATTTTATTCAAAAATTTGTTAGATTGAATATAAAAATACTTCAAATATTATTTAATTCTAATTTTTATCAGTTATTGTTGGATTAAATATAGAAAATAATCTAAAATATCATTTTATTCTGATTTTTATTAGTTTTTGTTAAACAAAATTTATAAATTACACTAGTGGTGTTCAACA